AATCATTCAAAAATCAAGAATAAAGTATTTGATTTGTACAGGGTTTGATTGTGCCACTAACCTAAAATAAATGTAAAATATGATTACATATGATTAATGTGTACTATTTTGTTTTGTAATTATTATAGGTTTGTGGGTAATCAAATAAATAAATATTTTTTAAAAACTAAATTAATTATAGAATTTTTTTTAAAAAAAAATGTAGAATGATGTACAACAACGGTCAAAAAAGGTTGCAAAAAAGAAAGATAAAGCAAAAACAACACCTAAAAACATTGCAAAAAAGTTATTAGCAACGTTTGTCGTATCCTTCTACTCTACAATAATATCAAGATTTGCAACATACTCAAAAAGTTGCAAAAGGTCTTCGACAACTTTTTTGACTGTTGCAAAAGATTTTTTTTGTTGTAGTGTGTGGATCATGACCTTATTTATAGTTTTCATACGTATTTGGCTCATCTTCAAATACAACTCTAATGGATTTGGTCTCTACACATGTAATTCGGTCCACACTTCATTCAGATGCTCCAAACTCAACAATTTAATTTTTTATTAGATCACTTTAATTGAATTCAACTTTATAATAACTTTATACACAATTAATTACATATGTAAACATGACAAATTAATAAACCCAACAGAGAAGTGCTCGTCTTTCAGTCTCTATGCACCTAACTTCTCCAGAAGTAGATTCTGAAGTTGATTTCATGCACAGAGAAAGTACAAACAGCAGTAGTTTGATGAATCTTTTAATCATGTTTATACTGAAAAAAAAAAGATATAAATTTCTGACTACTTTGTGCTCATATGAAATTATGCCCTTGTTTGATACACATTATAAAATTTTCATTTTCATTATTCTATTCATTTTTAACCACACATCTTTAAATAAAATAATAATTTCTATCACATCAATAATTTTTCCTTCCTTTTCAATCACACATTCTCCATCAATCTACTATTCCAAAATACATTCTTCCAAAATAACGTGGATCAAACTTGGTACGACTGGAGAACCCCTTTGGGATGCCAGTCCCACAATGAAGTAGACATCATCCCATAATTTCTCCTAGCGTGTAGAATGGGTACTTTTGATGGTGGAGTTGGCACTTTCGATGAAACGTG